AATTGTACTTATGTGGCGCCATGGTCTTGTGGCTAAAGCTATCGTCTCACATGGCGAGCGTCCGGGTTTGATTCCCGGCAAGGGTAGAAACATTGGGTATGTTTCCTTACACCGGTTGTCTATGTTCCACATCAGTAAAATGGGTACCTGGGTGTTAGTTGACCGGTGTGGGTTGCATCCTGAGACAAAACTGACCTAATTTGCCTGAAATGCTCTGCATAACAAGTGGCTTTCTATATAGTAGTATGTCACTGATGTTAGCTAGGCCTGTATACCTTGTATATATTAAGTAAACTCACTGACTTTTTTGTCTGAAGAACTTGATGATGATTTTTTATTTTGATAAATGTTATGAAGAAATTGTAGCCAGCATTCGCAGCAACAGCACAGACATCTGCCTCAGGATCATTTTCCAAATCACAAAAAACAGCATCCACAAACAAATGTGCTGGTATTTGTATTACCATAAACATAACAGAAAATGACAAATATTGTAAATGGTGTTATTGCCTAAAGATGTGGTGGAAAGAAAATATGATAGTTTTTTGATCTTGCGAGAAACTAGCCATTAAATATCTGATTTCATTCACCCCCCCCCTCCCTCATTCCCATCTTCTTGTAGGAACACCTTAACATCTGACAATGGAGAATGTTTATGTTCCTCAACTTCAGTTTGAGAATTTTTAATTTTATCTGTTAAAGTAATTTATGTACAGTATATAGTTCATTTTTAACCCTTCTAGGGTCCAGAGGCCAAATTTCAAAGTGTGCACCAGGGTCCAAGAATTTTCAAATAAAAATTTTGTTATTTTTTCTTATGAAATGGTAGAGAGTCTTTTTCTGAAGATAATAAAATAAAAAGTACGAAATTTGATGGAAAATTTATAAAATTATGCTCTCGCAAATTTTGACGTGTCAGCGATATTTATGTATCGGCGATTTTGCCGACTTTAACTCCTATTTTAAGGCAATTACATTATTCCAGTTGACCAAATTCTTAGTTATTGACTAGTATTACTTCTATTCTATCGATTGAGCACAAGAAATCGCCAAGTCATCTGTTTCAACTACAAAATAAAGTTATCGGAAATTGGTAATTTGTCCATTTTAATGCAAAGTTCAAAATATTCCAGTTTCAAAATAGGGTCCAGAATAAACAATGCAGGCATTCCTGACACTAAACTAACATTTCCTCTGTTCATTAGTTATGTTTTCAGGCTTTACAAATGAATTCCATTTTGATTTTTTATTCACAATGAATTTTTATTCAAACCAAAAAATAGAAGATTTAGTGTCATGCAATAATTGTATAAATAATATCACCACATTTGTGAACATATATTAGACCCACCAGCTGGCGTGTATTAAACATGTGAGGCCATTTGTTTATTCTTGAATATTGGCAAAAATTTAACATTTCTGCTACTTTGAACTCAGTTTCAAGCCATTTTCAGTACTTAAACCAATCAAAATCATCTCTGTTTCTGTACTATACCTTCCATTCTGTCAAATGAGACCAAGAAATCGCAAGTACACATACAACTATAAAAACATACAAAAAACACTGCAAAGTCCCTGTTTTAATAAAAAATTATGGTCTCGGTTTTTTCTCTCATTGTGCACTGTGTGCTGCAGGATTTGTTTTATGTGGTGCACACGTACCACATAGATGTATTCTCTCATATCTAGGTCCAAATATACCACTCACAGCTTATCAGATTGAGCTGAACTCATGGCATAAAACTATGGTTTGGACCCTTAACTCAAAGCCGTAGAACTACGGCACGGACCCTGAAAAGGTTAATTACGTGCATTAGAGTAATGCATCATGTTTTTTCTTTTTTTCAATGTGCTCTTTCAAAGTTTTAAAAAAATTAAATCTTATAATGGAAATGTGTCAGTTAATTCAGTTTATTGGAGAAAGGTTGCTCAAGTTCTCAAATATAATCTTAATTTTTCAATTTCCAGTTATTTAAGTAATGTATATTTTTTTAGTTTTCAAAATGTTTTTAAAATCTTGAAATAAACTGTACTATTAGTGTTGGATGATTTATTTTCATCTTTAATATAATTCTAAATTATTCAGACTTTTAGCTTTGTAATTGATTTCTGATTATGTTCATCAGGTTACTAAATATGTAGACATTCAAAAATTTTATGTTTTTTTCTTTCTGATTTGTATGTCTAACAGGGGTGTATGTAATTAGTGTGTAATGACATTAGCATCTCACAGAAATTAAGTTATTTAATATTTAACCTCCCTGGGTTATGTAATACCTTTTGAGCAATAAGCAATCTTTTATATATTGAACATAGTTATTATAATTTTAAAAATAAATATTGAAAAAGGTTTGGTATCAGTATTGGCCTAAAACTAAGTATCAATAATGGCAAAAATTTTGGTATTATCCCATTCTTAGTCATATTCCAGTCTAGAGAGCCCTAGTGCCCTCTTCTCTTCAGTTTTTTTCTTCAGTATTTTTTTAATATTAGCTAAAATTTGCCTTCATAGACCTCTATTCTGGATTCATTTTTGTTTTACTTGTGCCTTGATAATGGTCCAGGATGGACCAGATGTTTCCAGGTTTCATTTCTAATTTGTGGCTTGTGATATCTTGAGACTGGGTTAGATAAATCTTTTTCTTCACATATTTGGACAGTCAATTTGAAAATAAGAGAAATAGCATTTCCTTGTTCTATTTTCTTGTATCTGGGTTCCTTATATTTTCCTTGCCCAAGAGTGTAGTACATTATGTAAATATTAGTAAGATTGTATGAGGTGCTAGCAGAAAGCTTCTGGACTGCCATGAAAAAAAGTACAGTGGAACTCTGGTTTTCGTACTCAATTCATTCCAGAAGGTCGGTCTAAATCCGAAACGTACGAAAACTTAATTAATATTTCCCATAAGAAATAATCTAAATACAATTAATTTGTTCCAGACACCCAAAAATATTAACAAAAAATACATTTTTTAAAGAATGACTATAGTTTTATATACAGAAAACAATGAGAAATAAATATAAATGACTAATTTTAACAATAAACGAACATTACATACCTTTATTGAAGACTCTTGTTGGCGTATTGAAGGTGAGGAGGGGAGAGGGAGTTGGGGTTGTTGTTTGAAAAGGGAATCCCCCTCCATAAAGACTTAAGGTATCAAAGCCCTCACTGGGGTTACTTCCCTTTGTTTTTTACTGGCACTGGATCCCTGTCGCACTAAAAATCTGTCCAGAGAGCTCTGTTTCTGGTGTCTCTTTAAGATTTGCCAAAAATGGGACAAGGTATTGTTACTGAACGTGTTGCAGATACGCTTGTATGAGCTTTGTCAGGGTGATATTTTTCAACAAAAGTTTGCAACTCATTCCACTTTGTCAGAGTGGAACAGATTGTTGATTTCGACTTCCCGTACATCCTGGCAAGCTCGGCTAAACGTATGCCACTTTCGTATTTTTCTACAATATCTTTCTTGAATTCTGTAGTGTTTCTCACCTTCTTTACCATAGAGCTGGCACTAGGAACTTTCTTTGGACCCATGGTCGCTTATTTTGCAGTTGCAATCAATAAACAGGCACAAAAATTGTGAAATGTTTCGGTTGAATGCTCACTCAACCAGTGACAAAGCCAGGCTGACGGCATTCCCGGGCAGGTGGATGCGTATGATATGTACAATTTCTGGATTGAGGTATGATAACCAAACCAAAATTTTGCCCCAAAAAGTGTTCTAAATCCGAATTGTACGATATGCAGACCATACGAAAACCGGAGGTCCTTTGTATAGGCTTTCCTAATCACCTAGATGAAGTTGTCTCTTTGGAAGTACTCTCCTTGGGAGGCTATACACTGATCCCAGTGCCTTTGCAACATCTCGAAACATTTTTGGAGCCTTTTCTCTTTCCAATGGCATCTAGTGCATCTTGTGATTCTGCTTGAATCTCCTCCATGTTCTTAACCCTTAAACTGTCCACACATAGATTTACGTTTACGTGTGTAGTGCTCCGAACGCAGATCAACATTTTATTTTTCATTCCTTTAAAATTGGCATGATTGGCCTGAGATGCCTGGTCAGTACAGAATGGGTCTTAACCCTTAAACTGTCCAAGCAGATCTATGTTCACATGCGTAGTGCTCCAAAAGTAGTTTTCCTTTTTTTTTTTACTTATTTTCAAATACATATAAAAAAAAAAAATGCAGATCAAAGTTTTTTTTTCACGTTTTCAAATGTAAAAAAAAAGAAAAGAAGATCTACTTTTTTTACATACTTTCAGATGTTGAAAAAATGTAGATCTACGTTTTGACAGTTTAAGGGTTAACGCTCGGTATGTGCAGTATTAAAAAAATCTGGGAGCACCAGTTCAATTGAGCACCAGCGAGAGCAAATAGCATGGGAAACACTAGAGATTCACTGATGTCATGTCATATTAACACTCCCCTTTTAAGAGGAAAGTGATGTAGACCCAGAGTTTAGTGGCTTTGAGATGGATGTGGCCGCCAGTGGTCGAGGAAATATCAAAAACCTCGATAATAATCCATGTGCAACATCCTTTCATTTCTGATACCACTGGCAGTGTCATCCTGCCAGAATGTCAGACGTATTCGACAGGCTGGCTGACTGACTTTGGCTGTCTGCCTGTATCTATCTCTGTCTATATCTCTGTCCATCTATATCTCTGTCTATCTCTGTCTCTCGCAGGTACACATAAGTATAGTTATTATACATAGTGTAAATTATCTAGGATAACCCAAAAATCCCAGGCAAAGTGCTTGTAGATATAAGGTATAATAAGCTTGACGCAAGTAATATGCATTTTCACTTGCTCAGGATTCAGGGAGCGGCTTGTGAACCAGCAAGTTTATGAGCCGCTCCCTGAGACAGAGACAAGCAGAGGGAGAAAGACACATATACAGGTCTCCCTCAACATTCGCGAGGGTTAGGGGATCAAGAGCCTCGTGAATGTTGAAAAACCGTGAATGTTTGGTGCCCCAATATATTGTAGGGAAATGTAATACAATACTGCTTCCTTAACTTGTTGAACCATGAACAATCATAAAATACATGAAAACGTCGTAAATTGTACTAAATATATACATGTTATGCTTTAATAACATGTATGTTATTAAATACCACAGACTCCACCACTGCCTCCACCAATGCCTCCACCACTTCCTCAACCACTGCGAGTCCTAAATACCCTCCCTCCGACCCCCCCAACTGGCAGCCAGCCCTCCCACCACTCAGTGTGGTGAGTGTTTTGTTTGTTTTATTATTTGCTATTAAACTACAGTATAAATAATGTAAATGGCTATTCGGACAGGTATTGGACGGTGACATCATGTGTTTACTCTTGAACACAGCAAAGAATCAAACATTTCTGCTAATGCTAATAATAACAATAGTAATAATAATAATAATAATTAACAATAATAATAATAATAATAATAATAATAATAATAATAATAATTAACAATAATAATAATAATAAAAATAATTATAATAATAATAATTTAAAATGATATAATTGGAGAAGGGAAAATTGTACGAAAATATGAGGGAGTGGTTGACACATCGTCAGTGTGGCTTTGTTTATGCTGGAGTGAACATTAGTCTCCCTGCTCTTCCAAACATTTCACAATAATTCCAGCGGTTGAGGCAGTGGTATTTAATAACATTATGGTTATAAATAATAATAGTACATTTTTATTAATAAAAATGTATTATTATTATTAATAACATGTATGTTATTAGATACCACTGCCTCAACCACTGCCTCAATCGCTGCCTCAACAGATGCCTCACCCACTGCCTCAATTGCTGCCTCAACGGCTGCCTCGCCCACTGCCTCAATCGCTGCCTCAACAGCTGCCTCACCCACTGCCTCAATCGCTGCCTCAACAGCTGCCTCACCCACTGCCTCAATCGCTGCCTCAACAGCTGCCTCAACCACTGCCTCAATCGCTTCCTCACCAGCTGCCTCACCCACTGCCTCAATTGCTACCTCAACAGCTACCTCACCCACTGCCTCAATCGCTGCCTCAATCACTGCCTCAACAGCTGCCTCACCCACTGCCTCAATCGCTGCCTCAATCGCTGCCTCAACAGCTGCCTCACCCACTGCCTCAATTGCTGCCTCAACAGCTGCCTCACCCACTGCCCAACGCTGCCTCAATCGCTGCCTCAACAGCTGCCTCAACAGCTGCCTCACCCACTGCCTCAATCGCTGCCTCAATCGCTGCCTCAATCGCTGCCTCAACAGCTGCCTCAACAGCTGCCTCACCCACTGCCTCAATCGCTGCCTCAATCGCTGCCTCAACCACTGCCTCTACCACTCCAGTCGCACTCAATCTACAAGCACCAAACACAATGAAATTATTGTGAAATGTTTGGTATGAGGGCAGGGAGACTAATGTTCACTCCAGCATAAACAAAGCCATACTGACGATGTGTAACCACTCTCCTGTATTTTTGTACAAGTTCCTTCTTCATTTATATCGTTATCTGGTTTTTTATATCTATTGTTATTATTTGCTATTAGCAGTAGGCAGAAATGTTTGATTCTTTGCTGTTTGTTCAAGAGGTAAACACTGGTCACGTCCTAATACCTGTCCGATTAGCCATTCACAATTGCGTCATGAATGGCGTTTACATCTATTTTTTCCTGTAGTTTAATAGCAAATACAGAACAAACAAAACATTCACCACACTTGAGTGGTGGGAGGGCTGGCTGCCAGTTGCGCGGGGTCGGAGGGAGGGTAGTAGGGACTCGCAGGTGGCGGGAAACTTGAATATGATTTGGCGGCTGGGAATTTGGTGGCTGTGAATTTGGCGGTTGGGAATTCGCGAATGTGTGAAGCCCGTGAAAGCTGTAAACGTGAATGTTGAGGGAGACCTGTATAGGCAGACAGAAAGACAGATAAGCAGAGCTAGACAGACAGATAAGCAGAGCTAGACTGATAAACAGACAGGCAGACATGTTTGTGTGTAACAGTGAAAACAAACGAAGTCAGGGTTCCCTGTAGTAAGGCACACTCATGAAGTGTCACTCCACTGCTGCAGTGTCAGAAGTTTATTGACACTCATCTTACCACTATGCCTCAAGGAGTTTCATATATACTCCAGCATGTCTAAAACATTGCTGAGACCTATAAATACTTTGTATATATTTCTAGACAATAGTAAATGACCAAGGTAGGTGAAAATGTTCACCTGTCGGTGTGATTGTGACTAGTATTTGAGTACTATTTCAGTACAGTAGAGTGTCATTTAGCACGGTAATTACGTTCTTGAAAATGCCATGTTAGGTAAAAATCATGTTAGATGAACTGAAGAACTTATGTGAAAATATAGGGTTACATTCCTGGGAGCCCCCAAAAAGCCAAACAACTCTTTTTTAGGCCTCCACATCCTACAAAAATAAAAGTGAATATGTAGTTTTAGTTCATTGTTGTGATGTATTATGTTGTTACTGCTTAACCCCTTTAGGGTCCAAGGCCCAAATCTGAAGTGGTGCCCCAGTGTCAAGAATTTAAAAAAAAAAAAATTGTTATTTTTTCTTATGAAATGGTAGAGAATCTTTCTGTGAAGGTAATAAAACAAAAAGTACGAAATTTGATGGAAAATTGACGAAATTATGCTCTCGCGAATTTTGATGTGTCAGCGATATTTACGAATCGGCGATTTTGTCGACTTTGACTCCCATTTTAGGCCAATTACATTATTCCAGTCAACCATATTCCTAGCTATTTCACTAGTATTACTTCTATTCTATCGATTGAGCACAAGAAATCGCGAAGTCAACTGTTTCAACTACAAATTAAAGTGATCGGAAATTGTTAATTTGGCCAATTTAACACAAAGTTCAAAATATTTCAATTTCAAAATAGGGTCCAGAATAAACAATGTAGGTATTCCTGGAACTAAACTAACATTTCCTCTGTTCATTAGTTACATTTTGAGGCTTTACAAATAAATTCCATTTTGATTTTTTATTCACATAATGAATTTTTATTCACACCAAAAAATAGAAGATTTACTGTTATACAATACTGTAATAATTGTATAAATATCATCACCATATTTGTGAATGCATATTAGACCCACCAGCTGGTGTGTATCAGATGTGTGAGGTCGTTTGTTTACTCTTGAATATCGGCAAAAATTTAACATTTCTGCTACTTTGAGCTCAGTTTCAAGCCATTTCCAGTGCTAAAACCAATCAAAATCATCTCTATTTCTGTAATATGTCTTCCATTCTATCAAATGAGACCAAGAAATCGCAAATACAACTATAAAAAACATACGAAAAACTGCAAAGTCGCTGTTTTAATCGAAAAATCATGATTTCAGTTTTTTCTCTCATTATACACAGTGTGCTGCAGGATCTGTTTTATGTGGTGCACACATACCACATAGATGTATTCTCTCATATCTAGGCCCAAATGTACCACTAACAGTTTATCAGAGTGAGCTGAGCTCATGACGTAGATCTACGGTTTGGACCCTGAACGTAAAGCCGTAGATCTACGGGACGGACCCTGAAAGGGTTAAGACTACAGATGTAACAGAAATAATAGTATTTCTTACCTTAAATTATGGGTGCTGGTGTTTGTGGATGATTGTGAAGAGAGTGTAGAGTTATGTTGTGGTCCTACTGGGCTGAGGTGGATGGTAGAGGTTCTGGTACTGAAGTTGATGGTTGTACTGGAGTGTCTAACTTCAAGTCATTCAGTCAGTCAGTCACACAAACTCATGTTCACCTCTTTTTCTGTGTACAAAGTAACACTTCATTACGGCTACAGGTTATCTCTTGTCTAATATCTTTGTTTCAGCAACACTGGTATGGCTACTGAGTGTCATGATTGCTTGGCAGATACGAGATATAGTAATTAAAATATCATAACACAATTCACAAACACAGCTGCCTTGTAGCAGAGAAAGACTGGACTGGACACCTATGAATTACGAACGCTAGGATGGTGGGGTGGTGTCGGGGAGTGGTAGGGGATGGCAGGAGGGCTCCCTGGCTGCTCCACAACAAGCTGGCTGCTTGACCAAAAGAGAATTTTTTTTCCCTTCCCACAAACTGAACCATGTTAAATTAATTATACAACGTGTTACATAAAATTCTGCCACAATTCTTCAATCGTGCAATACTCATATCATGCCAAATAAACTCGTGCTAAATGATGGTCTACTGTACATAATATTAGTGTCAGAACAAAGATTGGCTATGAAATCACAAGAACTATTATAAATTGTAATCATCAGAACGTGAAAATTATGTAAATTAAAATAAAAACGAGAAAAAGAGGTATATCGATATCACTTCTGCAAGCGGCAGGATTCGATGTTGCCATCAGGTAAGCATCCAGTGCCAACTTCGCAGTCTTATATCTAGGTAAATACTGGTCCTAAACATTTTTTTTTTTGGTCTTATAACACACAGAAAATTGCCCTCTTTAATTATTTTTTTTTTTTTTTCAATATATTCAGCGTGTTACATAGGTGAACGTAGATCTACGTTTGGACAGATTAACCCTTTCGGGGTCCAGAGGCCAAATTTCAAAGTGTGCACCAGGGTCCAAGAATTAAAAAAAAAAAAGTTATTTTTTTCTTATGAAATGTTAGAGAATCTTTTTCTGAAGGTAATAAAACGAAAAGTACGAAATTTGATGGAAAATTGCCGAAATTATGCTCTCTCAAATTTTGATGTGTCAGCGATATTTACGCTTCGGCGATTTTACCTGCTTTGACTCCCATTTTAAGCCAATTACATTATTCCAATCGACCAAATTCTTAGCTATTTCACTAGTATTACTTCTATTCTATCGATTGAGCACAAGAAATTGCCATGTCAACTGTTTCAACTACAAAATAAAGTGATCGGAAAATGGTAATTTGGCCAATTTAACACAAAGTTCAAAATATTCCAGTTTCAAAATAGGGTCTAGAATAAACAATGCAGGCATTCCTGGTGCTAAACTAACGTTTCCTCTGTTTATTAGTTACATTTTGAGGCTTTACAAATGAACTCCATTTTGATTTTTTATTCACATAATGAATTTTTATTCAAACCAAAAAATAGAAGATTTACTGTTATGCAATATTGTAATAATTGTATAAATAATATCAGCACATTTGTGAACGTATATTAGACCCACCAGCTGGCGTGTATTAGACGTGTGAGGTCATTTGTTTACTCTTGAACATCGGCAAAAATTTAACATTTCCTCTACTTTGAGCTCAGTTTCAACCATTTCCAGTACTAAAACCAGTCAAAATCATGTCTATTTCTGTAATATATCTTTCATTCTATCAAATGAGACCAAGAAATTGCAAATACAACTACAGTAGTATAAAAAACATACAAAAAACACTGCAATAGTCGCTGTTTTAATCGAAAATTATGGTCTCAGTTTTTTCTCTCATTATGCACTGTGTGCTGGAGGATTTGTTATATGTGGTGCACACATACCATATAGATGCATTCTCTCATATCTAGGCCCAAATTTACCGCTCACAGCTTATCAGAGGGAGCTGAGCTCATGGCGTAGATCTACAGTTTGGACCCTTAACTCAAAGCCATAGATCTACGGCACGGACCCTGAAAGGGTTAAGGGTTAAAACACCGCCCCTTGAGTGCCATTTTTATTTTTGGGAAGGGAAAGGATTTGCAGGAGTTATATCTGGGGAGTAGGGAGGATGGGGGAAGACTGCCATGTTGTTTTTGGACAGAAAACACAGGGCAGTCTTGTTTTTGCCTTGAGTCAACAAGTAGGGCACAATTTTTGCAGCCACTTGTCTTGTATTCAAATTTTCAGTCAAAATGCCTTGACAAGACTCGTAAGAAATTTCCACAGCACTTGCAGTGTCTTGGATACTCTGATGAACCTAGCCCAAGGCCAGGCTCTGGAAGTAGAAAAAATCTCAAAACTCATTAAAGGTATATCTGATGATGATCTTCATGAATAACCTTCCTCACTTTTTCAATGTTGATGTCTGTTTTTGACGATGGATGGGAGGGAAAAGGGGCTAGTGGAGGCCAGTGAAGAGGCAGGGCCGATAGCTGTGACTCAGTCCCTGCAACCGCAAATAGGCGAGTATGAGTGCACACACACACACACACATGTATGTGCTTGCAAGCAAGTACACATACACCCGAATAAATATTAATCACAAAGTACAGTACATACATAGTATTATTATGTTGAGACATCTGATACACTAAACGAAGTTAGTGAGTGTAAGATGAGTCATTAACCAGGCATTAGTTAAATATTAAGATAGAATAATCTAATACAGTAATATAAAATAGGAAAGTTTGCAGTGAAAGTAGAACTAATAAAGACTGATAATTGCTGTACTGTATTTAGTGATTTTATTATTCATTCTTTAGATTTGTTATGAGGAGAAGTGGAGCTGTGATTTACCTCTTGAGTAGACTTCTGCAACTTTCCAACACATGGAACCTTTGAACCATCCTGATGTGACAAAAGTGAATTGTAGAGGAGCTGAGCACCAGGGTTCCATACGTCTGAAACAGGTGAGCACATCACCGTTTATGCTGCCTCAAGTGTTGTCACGCTCACCTGTGCTCTATATGCTTTGAATTACCTGGCTTCTTTGATGGTTGTTCTAGTTGATGCAGGTAGTTGAATATACTGTCATAGTACACTGTTTTGTTTTGGTGTTTATGTGGGGGATTTTCCTTCCTTCTGGTAATGTGTTAAAGTGCTCTGTGAATCTTAAAACTTTCATCTTGGCAGTCATGGGTTGTAAATCAGCATCTAGATCCACTTTTCATTCAGTTACCTTCAAGGGGGTTGCCTTCATGCTAGTAGAGAGCTCTTGATCTCAGAAATTAGAGTTATCTCACTTTCCTAGGGTCAAACCTGATTACCTTACATTCCCTAGTCCAGGGCTACTCAACTACTATGAGCAAAGGTCCACTTGGACAATTTCCTATGTATGCAAAGGTCTAGATACATTTTTTATAATGTATGCAAAGGTCTAGATACATTTTTTACAATGTATGCAAAGGTCCGAATACATTTTTTCCCAGCCCATATGCGGCCAAACTCTTTTTCCAAAATGCTAAAAAAGTCAGCTTCATTGCACAAGTGATAATTACCAATATGAATTACCATTGAATGGAAGAAAATATCACAATTTAGCTATGTTTGAATACTGTATTCCATTCAGTGTATGTATTCCATTCAGATAGAATAATGTATTAATCCCACTCTTGTGTTTCACCTGATCCTGAGACATGGTAACAGCTGTTATTTAACTAAGCTTCTCCTGAATCCCGCGGTCCAACTACAACACTCAGAGGGTCTGGATTTGGACCGCGGGCCGCCAATTGAGTAGCTCTGCCCTAGTCACTTTATAGCCCTAACAGGTTTAGTGCTTCCTTATGAATATAATAATAATGATAATAACCATAGATCATTCACATTTGCTTGCCATACTATTTTTGTAGAAGACACTTGCCTTTTTTTTAAGCTTACTTCAACACTTGTAATACATACATACATACACATGCAAAAAAAAAAAAAAAAAAAGTAAGTAAAGGGACTCACTAGTGGTGAGGGAGAAGTGAAGATGGTTGAAGAATAGATGGGGGAGAGGAAAGAATTATAGTGAGGGGAAAAAAAGAGTCAGGGCTAAACCCAAGAGCAAAGGCATTGTAAGGCATTGTGTAAGCTTGTGCTTTTGCTGCTCCTCGTCTCTCCCTCACAATATGACTGGCTGGTCAAGTTCGGCTGGAGGTTGGACTGTTTGATGGCCCCCAAAACGACTCTAGGCAAGGCTCTTCAGTTGAACTGCACTGACAAGCCCCTCCATTGCTATGGTATTTAATGAGAGAAGATGGCAAGATTTAAGAATTTAAAAGCAAAGGATAGTAGTTGCTTTTGGCAGATAAGCATTGAAAAAGAGCAAAATGTGCAATAAAAGGGTAAGAGAAGTGGCTTAGTGAACTCTTAGGTATAAAGTGGTGGAGGAATAGGATTGTAAAGAGCTCTAAGAGGGTTTTCAAGATTGTGAGGGTGTCTAATAGTGTCAACAAGGAAGGATGTCCCAAGTCAGTCAATCTGTCTGTTGCTCAGTGTTTTCCAGAAGACATTCAGAGCTGTTATGTCAGTCCTGAGGTGGAGTGACTCACATGTAACATAGTCCTCTCACCTCATGTCCAGCACAGTGCCTGTTTCTGGATACACTGTGCCTATAGTGTGTTAGTCTTAGTAGTCAGTGTTTAAGCAAATGGAGTGCAAGTGGTGGGTCTGATAAGAGCAGTGTATAGATGGAGTCTAGTGAAGGGACATGCATCTCTTAGCTTATAGAGCCAAGAGAGTGCAGTCCTCACCACAGTTGTCTTAGAAGTGATGTGTGGTTTCATATGCAACTTGGAGTCAAGGTTGACTCAAAGTACGACTGTGGAAGATGTGGATGGTATAGGTATTCGTGAGACACTGGTTCTGATGCTAGACAAGCCATGGGGGGATGTAAATCTTAAGCTCAAGATTTTTCTTATGTCTCTGTGTACCATCAGGAGTTATGCAGTGTTGCAAGAGCAGCAACAGGTGGATTGAAGGGAATTTTTCTCAGAGGAAAGGTAGCATATTGATGCTGGCCTGTTTCTCCTCAGAAATGGTCAGACTTGTCTTGTCTGTCAAGTGTCAATCATTCCCTGAGCAGGACTGCCAAAGTAAGACAGTCTGTGATATTTTGGGCTTCTGACACAGCTCCTGTACTTTTTCCTTACAGTTGTTTAATATAGTATGGAGACTCTGGATGTCTCCATAATTGGCCATGGTACTGTCAGAGCTCTTCTGTAGCTCTTTTACTGTATAGTTTACTTTCATAATAATATTTATTTCTACGTGTACATGATACAACTTATACAGACCATAACTGACATCAATGACATACTATATAGAAAGCCCCTGGTTATGCAGAGCATTTCCCACAACTTCGGTTAATCTTGTTTCCCAGGATGAGACCCACATTAGTTGGCTAACACCCAGGTACCTACTTGCTGCTAGGTGAACAGGGACAGCAGGTTTAAGTAAACACACCCATTGTTTCCACCCATACCGGGGATCAAACCATGGATGCTCAATGTGTGGTCCATTTCCTACGTGGAAGTGACTATATGTTACACAAGTTTTGTCATTGCTCTCTTTACCACTGTTTAGTTAAAGATGTGTACCTAGACATTTGTGAATGTATGGGATCTCTGGATTATTGTTATGTACATTATTAAAGTTTTATGTCTTTTTATTCCCCATTGTTATTGACCACTGGTAATATCTTGAGATGTCTGTGTAACTGTCTTGAGAGACTTGCTTTACTTTGTTACGTTTACTGTAACAGGCTCATGTCAGGTTGTCAGATGGATAAGGTGCGATTTGTAGCAGGAAGGGATAAGATATGAGAAGGGGAGAGAGTAACTAGTAGAACTTTGCAGTTGCTATGACTGCTACTGTCCCTAATATACTTGAACTATCTTCCAGAGGGGATTGTGTCCTATGTGACTGTTTGCAGATGATGTGAAACTATTGAGAAGAATAACAGGAGAAGATAGTGATAAGCTTCAAGGAAATATTGGTAGAATGTAGATTTGGTCAAACAAATGGCTGCTTGAACTAAACCCCAAAAAATGCAAGGTCTTGTAAATTGGAGAAGGCAAAGGCAGACCAGAGAGGGTGCAGTATGAGCAGAGAGAAGCTACAAATATCAGAGCAAAATGGATCTGGGAATGAATATAACACCAGGCATATCCCCAGAATTGCACATAATTGTGTAATGTAATGTCAGCTGCAAGATTAGTAAACCTCAGAAAAGGAGTCAAAACCTTGAACAAGGAAGAATTCAATTTTTTTTTTTTTTACACAGATCAATTTTACAGGCTAAGAACTGTTATCCTACCTCAACTCATTTCAAAGCTCAATCCTATCTAAGGTATACAACCACCCCCCAGGATGCCACCCACAACAGTTGACTAACACCCAGGTACCTTCTTACTGCTAGGTGAACAGGGACAACAGGTGTAAGGAAACATGCCCAATGTTTCTACCTGACTGGATATCGACCCACAGACACTCAGTGTGTGAGCTGAGTGCACTACCAATGATTGGCTAACTTGTCACATATAGTAAGTTTTCTTATAACACATTTTTATAGTGTAATGTTTTATAAATGCAATTGACAAAAGTACATTAAAAATTAAATAGCACATGAAAAGACTTTTATAGTATGTGCTATTAAATTTTGGATGCATTTTTTCAATAAATGCAAAAAAATTGCACTATATAGAGGAACTGTATAAGAGAACTTACTGTATGTGACATATTAACCCTTAAACTGTCTAAACATAAATCTACGGTCACTCGAATAGTGCTCTGAACATAGCTCTGCATTTTTGTTTACACTTGAAAGCATGTAAAATAAAACAATCTACTTTTGGAGCGCTAAGTGAGTGAACATAGATCTATGTTTGGACAGTTTAAGGGTTAATCCAGTCATCGAGCACACAGCCCCAACATGGAGCCCACGCATAATAAAGCATGTGAAGAATCTGGAAAATGCCCAAAAGTTTACAACCAAGACGAGTGCACTGTGAGAAGATGATGAAGGGAGTGAACTGATGATCTTAGGGGTAAGGAGGACACACACACAGTCTTAAGAGCAACACACACATGTGAAAGTATACATATGTACATTCATACATACACATGGATACATATACACATTGTGTATGTTTTTATATTTTGCCCTGTAGCAATTAGGAGTTATTATCTAGAATAATCATTATACCTAATTCTGACTTCATATAACAAGAAATTTTTACGAACATTCATGTAATCCACTATATAACTAGTTAATGTGAATTTAATCTTAAGTCTACCAGAAGAACATTGTATAACTAGGAGCTTCTCCATGTGTTTTAGAAATTATTTATGTAATACAGTGGACATTCATAATTTGCACAGGTTTTGTTTCTGAAAACTGCACTATTTCCATGACTAATGGACCAAGAAACATATGGGGAAAATAGAGCTGCAGTCCTCAGACCTCAAAAAAAAAAATTTCTTGCTATCACAATTCAGAAAAATAATACTTTTCTCTACTTAATTTTGTCAGTGATTATGCTCTGTGAAATACTTGTATGGTAGTGGTGTTCAGAAAGTTAAAACAAAAATAAATGAGTACATTAAGCTAAAAAAAACTTGTTACATTAATGCTGTACAGTTTTTGTTTCCTCAAAAAAAAATAAAAAAGAATAAAAAGGCATAGTACCATGAAGAGAACAATACACAAATAATCCCCACATGGGATTATTTGTGTACTGGACCATGTTTCAGTCCAACTTGAACCATTATCTAGTCACACCGAGAATCATGGTTCTCTGTGTAACTAGTTAACCCTTTCAGGGTCCGTGCCGTAGATCTACAGCTTTATGTTCAGGGTCTAAACTGTAGATCTATGCCATGAGTTCAGCTCACTCTGATAAGCTGTGAGTGGTAAATTTGGGCCTAG